ATATATTTCTCCTATAAATCAAAAAAAAAAATTAACTACTTAATACTTAAATGAGGTAGTTTGACTTGACACAAAGTTTAAGAAAGAAAAAAAGACTTTTAAAATATGTGGTCCTAAAAGTTAAGGGATTCAAGTTTTGTGGGGTCATAACATTTGTGTGGCTATAAAATTTTCTCATTAAAGGTAACGTGAGTAAAATAAAAAGTGCAAAGTTAAATTGTTTCTAAGTAGAGAAAATTATCATTCTTTTTGGAATGGATTAATAATGAAAGTGTGTCATTTAAATTTAAATGGAGGGTGTATACAACGAGTATGTAGGTAATTTTGTATAAATATATTAATTGGTAATCTTAAGAAAATGAAAAAGAAATCTTCTAACAGGTCAAAATGCACTCATAGCGTCAAAATATCTTTACAGTCAGTGATATAGCTTAAACTCGAAGTATATATATTGTAATATACATTATTTAACTCAAAATTTTGTGTTCTTATAGTACTCCGTGTGTCTCAATTTATGTGAAAGTTTCATTTTTGATATTCAAATTTCTTAATTTTGACTGGATATTTGGATATAGAATTTTAATTTTTTTGAAATAAAATTTATATATTTAAAAATTATGTAAAAAGTGCTATAAATTAAAATAGTTAATGATTCAAAAATATTTAAAAGATGTATAAAAAAATTACGTTCAAAGAACAACTCGTTTGACTTTCGAAATTCGAATACCTTCACATAAATTGAGACGGAGGGATTACTTATTATGAATCTCAGCTGTTAACAAGAAGTTATTATGAAGGAGATCCCTGCTTTAAATGCTCTTATTTCTTGTGGATTTAAAAAGATTTTTTCATATAAAAAATGAATTAGAAATAACAAATAATGAGAGTATATGTCGGCCCAGTTGCTGGACAACAAGACTAGTGACATTATATATATTTTTGAAGTCCATCTTCTGATATATATCAAAACGTAAATCTGGCAATGGCACCTATAGAGTTAGGAGATATTGGAATTGGAAAAGATGAAGAAGAAGAATTGAATAATTCAAAGAGTAGTAGTAATAGTGATGGTGTGTTCTTGACTTGGAATGATTTGTGGGTTACTGTCTCCAATAGAAAATTAGGTGGCAGCAAAAACATACTACTACTTCAAGGTCTCACTGGCTATGCTCGCCCTAGTGAACTCTTAGCCGTCATGGGTCCTTCTGGCTCTGGCAAATCTACTCTTCTCAACGCTTTAGCTGGTAAATATAATTATTACATTCAAACATCTTTATTACATCTTTGTTTTTTCCAAATATATTTGTTGAGTTGTTCTACATCGGTGAGTTTTGAGATTCTTGGTCTCCTTATATGGTCTCGGGCAATCCTCATCACGTAAGCTAGCTTTTGAGGTTGAGTTAGGCCCAAAAGGTCTATTTATCATGGTATTAGTGTGAGGCTCATTCCAATTATTGTTACCGACGTTGGCCCTCTTAGCTTTTGTAGTGATATATCTTAGCTAATGAATTAAGCATTAATACCATTTTCTTATTAATTGTTATTCTAGTAGGATTACTCTAGTTAGCTAGTTTCTTTTCAAAAAATTTATGACTGCTCACCTGATGACTACCTCTTAGGACGATTGGATTTCAGCACAAGGCAGAGCGGTGATATTCTGATCAATGGTCACAAACAAAAACTTTCTTATGGAACATCTGTAAGTAGCATTCAGCTAAATTAATATCATTATTTAAGTTTTCTTTCTCTTAATTAACGTCTCCTTAATTAATCAACGTTTCCTTGTAATGATTGTTAAGATTAGAATTCATCGTAATTTTTCCTATAAAACCAGGCTTACGTGACTCAAGATGAAATGTTGATAGCAACACTAACGGTTAAAGAAGCAGTTTACTACTCAGCGCAACTTCAACTGTCAGATTCCACGACAAAATCAGAGAAGAAACGAATAGCAGAGAAAAGTATAAAGGAGATGGGGTTACAAGATGCGATGAACACAAGAATTGTAGGAATCAGTGGAGGAGAAAAGAAAAGATTAAGTATTTGCATGGAGATTCTAACGCAACCAAAACTTCTTTTCCTTGACGAACCAACCAGTGGCCTTGACAGTGCTGCATCTTATTATGTGATGAACAGAATTTCACGTCAAAGATTTGGAAAAACCATTATTGCATCCATACATCAACCTAGTGCTGAAGTTTTTAACCTCTTTCAAAACCTGTGCCTTTTGTCCTCAGGAAGAATGGTATATTTTGGTCCAGCTAGTGCAGCAATTGAGGTAAAATGCAAGCAATATATATATATATA